ACTAAAAGTAAAATAATAGAACTGTTCTATTATTTTGCTATTATATTACTATTATGTTATTTATATTAACAAACCTTCTATTATTTTACTGTTATTCTGCTATTATGCTGCTATTATTTAGTAAATATAAAATAGAATAATGGCAGATTTTTTTCTATTATTTATCTATTATTCACTCTTTATTCATTTGTTCCACCTGTGAATATTATATCAAATAACAGATTTACAAATCATTAAAGATCTTACAATTATTATAATTAATATTACAACTTATATTATACAGCTTGTCAACTGTATAGTTTATCTAACTAACTTTATACAAAAGACAATAACTGCTTACTACTAGAACACACACTTTACAAAATTGACCTTTGGTCTACATACTAGATTCTACATAGTTACTTTATAAACAATATCTTATATTATTAAATCTAGATGAATTTTAACTACTCTAGTAGATTTAGATTGCAGATTAATTAGATAGTAATTTGTTTATAGTCTGAGCTTTATTCTTGTAATACATTTGTAATTAGAATAAGTTTGTAATTTATATTCAGAGAAGCCTTTAGAGGTCTTTTTAACAAATTAATAAAAATATGAGCAAAACCTTACCTTAACTTCAAAAAATAATAATAATAATAATTCTTTATTTTTATTATTTATTATACAAAAAAGCTAAAAAATATAATTATAAATATTAAAAATATGATATTAAACTTTATTTTTAATTAAATTAATATTAATTTTTTATTTATTAATTACTTAAGTTTGAAATATAAGTAAATTTTATTTAATTAATATTTTGTTATTTTTTATGCTTATTAGTTTTTAAATAAAAATATAAATTATGTTTTTTACAATAATTAACAAAATATTTGCAAAAAATATAATAAAATTTTTTTATATAAAAATTATTTTTATATTAATAATATTTAAAAAATATTATCAAAAAAAAAATTTTAATATAATACGTATTATTATATAATTAAATAATCAATTAGTTATTTAATTTGATTAGTTAATTATCTAATATGATACATATGAAAAATTGATTGGTTACAACTACAGTTAACAACTAATAGATTGGTAAAATTTTACTAACCTATGTGGGTACTGCAATACATGAGTTTGAGAAAATTGAGTTTTTTTTATTCAGGTTCATAATTTGATTGGTTAGTTATATCTGGTAATCTTGTGACACGAAATTTTTTTTTTAAATATCTCGATGTTTTATTATGCAAATCAATTTCTATTTATAATTGAAAAATGTAACCCGTATCAAAACCTCGATTTTCATTTTTTGAACAGTATCCGCCCTTTCTACTGCAAAGACCCCATATGTACTATATTTGACTCTATAAATTTATCTAGCCATTTTTCTAGAAAATAGTGCTGGTTATCATAAGCGGAGTTTGGACCGATATCACACGGAGCTAGAGGCCTGCACGGGCCGGGCCAAAATTTAAAAATTTTAAAAACCTCTCAAAATTGCGGGACTGGTGAGGTAAAAACATAGTACGTAGAAAGCGGGCCAAACTTTTAAAAAACATAATAAATTTTATTTTGCGGGCCGACAAAAGTTTAAATTTTTAGGCCCATGCAGGTCCCTACACAAAGCGATAATGAAGGTTCGGGATGTTGACTTACGGGATTTTGATCCAAACCCATCACATATTTGTGCCAACCCAAATATTTGGGCAAACATTCCCAGTTAGGGTAAAATAAATTCTACCCTAAAATTCTAGTTTTATTAAGAAATCCGGGTTCCGTTCCCACTTACAACTGCTATTAATTTGTCCTAATTAACTTCAAGAAATTACAAGTTTTCTTTTTTCCAATTATTAATTTTTAAGGTTAGTCCCAGAACCAACACTCAATCAAGCCAATGAAAGTTGTTACATTTTTAACAGGCTATGTACAAGGTTTAAAAATCAGGTTTCACTTGTTATCAGATTGGTGAGCCTTACTATTAACAGAAATTGTCACAAGTTAATACCTTGCAATAAATGCTACGTATTTAGATATAATATATATATATATATATATATATATTATGATACGTAATACTATAATAATGATAATAATACTACGTATAAATATGATATATATATATATTATGCATTTATATGCAATTGCATGAATTACACACGGATACATTAGTGCAGGATTAAAGATAAAACCGGTTCTAAACTCTAGTTTAAGGTTTATGTAATTATTTTTATTTAAGAACCAATAGAAAGGTATATAAGTAAATTTGTACTTAGATTTACAATTCTATTGTTTTATTGTTTTATGTCTAATGCATTGCACTATCTGCTTACATATCACTATGACGCGAAGCTTTGTGGAGTTAGGGGCACAATAGCTATACTTGTTGTATTACATTTTAATGAAAATATTTACTTTTAGCCCAAATCTCACATAATACATATGCAGCAACTAAAAAAAAAAAAAAAAAAAAAAGAAAAAAAAACCAATTACTTCTTATCTCAGCATCTCCTGATGACAAATGTTTAATAAGAGACATTTTTCTTCGTTATATCGACCCTTGACCATGTGTATTGTGACTAAAGCACAAGATATGATACTGTTTATAGACATCACTTAAAAAATAAAGTTCGTAGTTAGTCCGAGTGACCTGTTAACATTATCACGACATAATAAGTTATGCAGTGAAACATTGATCTTCCAACAGAAAAAAATAATCGAGTTGTCATCCATATCAGATAGACTTCTTAAATCCGCATGCAATCGCTTTCGCCTTTTTAAAGGGCCGTGGTAAGTATATTTTTTAATTGATAAAGTAGATAAACAGGATTACGTGGAAAATTAAAAAGTGGCAATTTTGATTAATAAAGGTGAAAAAAATTGTCAACTTTTTGCAAGACAGATCCAGAATTAAATGTAATTTGACTTATTGGATTTATTCCATTAAATTTGAAAGTTCAACTATAATTATTTCTCTTTAACACCTACTTATCACAGTACTCTAATTCCACGGAACCCTCCAATTTCACAATGCCTGCGATTGACATTAATGACACTGACATTTATATCATTTGTAATGATGATATTGAACTTATAAGGTTAATTGTCTCTAGTTTACATGAAAAAGGCGCAAATAAAATTCATCTTCTGGTCACTGATAGTCAAGCTCAAGTAATTCAAATCAATTAATTCATTTTAATTAATTTCTGTAATTATTCAATCAACGCACACTCTCATCCAAAATATCTTAAATCATTTAAGATTACTGAAAGTTATGAATCTCTCAATGAAACTATAACAATAATAAGGGGTACATGGGAAGAAACTTCCGATTTTGAATGCGCCTTAACGAGTAAGTTTTATTGACATTTATTTCCTTGTCATTTTCTTGCTTAGAGAGATACAATTCGTTTAAATATTTCATGTTAAAATAATATATACAATCAACTCTCTCTAAGTGCATATCCTCTAAGTACTCTAAGTGCATGTTTAATAAAATTTTCTCTAAATGTAGAAGTATTTTAGACCCAAATACATAGCACAACATAGATTTGTTCTCTTTAAAGTAGCTTTCTTTAAATATAGAGTTTTAGTAAATTTTTCAAAATCCAATCGAGCTGCACTTAGAAGGAGTTGATCGTGTATATATAGATTTTAACTTAATTGGCGACATCCGGGCAATTTTAGATATTAATTGTTTACAGTGTGACTTTTATAAATGCTCTAATTACTGTTTTAATGGTGATAGTACATTTAAATTCGGCATAATGAATAGCATTTAGATAGCGTTGGGATCTTTTCAAATTTTAAATGCGATCCATTAAATCCATTTTACCGATTTTATCATCATCAGAATAGTAAAGATTGCATTCATTTAAAAGTTAAAGTGAAACAGTAAGATTTACTTTGTAAACAAAACATAAAAGGCTTTGTTAAAATCAAGCCATGTTTCAAAAAATTTATAGTAATATTGCTTTAATGTTTACTATAGTCCGGATTTCAACAAAGTATCTAATAATAATTACTAACTACATCATATATAAATATATACAGTCAAACCTCTCTATAATCACATCCTTGGTTTTAAGAATTTGGTGCTTATAAAGAGATTGTGCCTATATAGAGGTTAAATTTTATAAGTGTTATATAAGTTGGTTTTAAAAATTTATGCAAATGTGACTATAGAGGAGGTGACTATAGAGAAGTCTGACTGTATATATGTTCTATTCTGACCTATCATCTACTCTTCTTACTAAATAGTATTTTGTTCGTCATAGATGCTGTTATCGTTATCAGTATGCTTCATCACGAATTCGAAAAACAAGAAAAGCTTTTTTTCGCTTGTATTAAACAAGGTGTGGTCTTGTTAATCACTTGGGATTCGGGAATGGAACTGTGAGTATAATAATAATTACAATTATTAAATTATAAATATTGCAAATGTGGTTTATATAGACAAAAAAATATTATAAATATATTCAATTCTTTATTATTTTAGAGATAACTTAATAAGAGATAAAAGTTGCCCTCGTACCCGCCTACATCAAAAACTTATTGATTATCAAGGTTATTCTCCTTCTCCTTTTGCTGATAAAATGCAATGGATTTTATTCCAAGTTGGCCTATTTAGTGACGAAATTTTAAAATATGACATATCCACTGTTACAACTGCTTTTAACAGTCCAAATCAATTTATTTTTATTAATGTTTCGGTCAAAATTGATTTCGCCAAAATAGTTGCTGAATCAGTTGTTACTCCAAAAGTAAAACCAAATTGTAATTATGTAGTCGGTGAATTTGTTTCACATACCTTTTTAGGTCACATATATAAAGTTTTTAATCAAGGTATATTTTTTAATGAATATTGTTTGATTATATCATGTATTCCTATTTTAAAATATACATGTTTTCAATAATGATTAAAGGAATATTGTTTGAAACAAGCATGCCGGCTGAAATAACTGAATTTGAAACTACAAATCAATTACGTATATCAGGAATAATATCTGCCCGTCCTATTCCAAAGATTTTATATCCTGATTGTGATTCTTATATTCATAAAATAGGAATCGAAATATCTTTTCAGCATGGTGCTACTATTTATAAAATTTTAACTAATCATGAACAAGTAACTCTTAAACAATGGTTTTTGAAAAAATTAAAGACCAAGAATAAGGATAGTAATAATATTACTATTGAAAATAATAATCATATGACTATCAAAAATGGTAGCCATGCTTGATTTTAATAATTATGTAATATTCTAAGTTTATGTTTTTTATATTATACATTATTTGTATTGTGGGATTATTAAAAATTTTTAAATAACTAAATAAAGAATAAATTCTCAGAGTGAATATTTTAAAATAAAGATCTCAAAGTTAATAACTTATACCCAACGACTCATGATTATTACCGTTGTCCATTGCATATAGTACTCAAAGCCTTATTGAACCATTTTGTTTTTAAATTGTATAGTAGTCTGGATATGTACGTACTCTATTCAGGAATAGACCATAATGTAACGAGGAAAAGGTGATATTTTAGAACCGCGATGAAATTTTGCAGTAAATTACTTGACTAAAGAATAGAATTATTGGAAGTGTAGAACAATCATTGAATAAGAATCCAAGAACATTCGGAGAAAACTATCAAAACATCTTAGGTTAGATTATGATCTAACGAAAATATTTAAAGGACATAGTATAGTTGTGGTTGATTCCCATATGTGAGAAAGGACACATTAGTCTGTCATCAAAAAAAAAGAACAATTTAAACGCTCGTAACAAGATAATGGGATATTTTCTTTAATATACTTCGAGCTTAAAGGCAAGTTTTTTTATATACAAAGATGGCTGTCCTGGAAATCTTTGGTTGAATAAGCTTTTATATATGAAATCCCTTTATACCGAACATGCAAAGAAATTATGCAGTGACTGTCATCTGATCCGGATTTTTGGTGGCCACCCTGGCGAACTCGTACAGAACAGACTACACTACCCTTTATGTGAAGTACTCAAATACCTATCTGATGTATGGAAAATCACTAGCACCCAGTGGTTCGCGCTGTGCGATATATAAATCAAATCGCTATATCACGTAAATATTACATGGTCATTATTAGAAATCCATAATCTGATTAGATAATTAAGAGGTAAATCGCGGTTAAAGGGCATAAAAATAGCAAATTTAATATTATAAAGCAAATTATTCCGATTCAAATTGGTTTGGTAGATCGCGAGTTATTGGCATTTTCTCCTTTATAACTATATATTACTCAAGGCAACATTCTTATTTGTAACTAATTTTGATTGATTAAAAAATATTACAATATTAATATATGAATATCTTTATAACAAAAAAGAGTGAATTTTTTTTTAAAATCAATATGTATAAAAATATGAAATAATCTAATGCCTCTTTTTGCTATAAGGGTTTCTATACCTTATTTGTTAGGCTTTGAAATAACTAATAACTAATTATTTGTCATTTGAGTCGTCAAGTCATTTACCATCTCTAAAACAAATTAAGACTCTATTTGATAGACCTGTGTTAACTTCACTTTACACACCCCGCCATATTATCCTTTTACCTTTAAAGTCAAATTTTAATTAAATAAATCAATATAAGCATATTAAATAAAGGACGACGAGAACATTTATTCTTAAATGAATTCATTTAGAAGGTCAAAACATATGTTTTCTAAAAGATTGATACAAATTAACTTTTTATTGATATAAATATTGAGAACTAGGTTTTAAAATTTGAACCAGGTTCAATTTTGATTTGGAATTTATTATATAAAAACCTGGTTCTTGAGTTTTAATTTGGAACCTAAAGGTTTTAGAACTAAACCGAACTTAAACCAAACCTAAACTAACGTTACCATCCCTAGCTGATTATAGCTTTTAATGTGTTTGTCATTCTTGTTCTGGTGAAGTTTCTGCGGCGAATATTTTCGTCATTGTTACCAAGAATGATGGTATGCTGACTAAATAATAAATACGTTCTTAGATCATATTGATAACTTAATATAAAGCATAATAATAATTATTTGACTTACGCTTCTAGCAAGTCCAGCAAATATATGTAACTCTTCATCGTGAATGATATGCAGAGAGGCAACCACGTTGGAAGCAGAAGCAAGTGCTAACGTCAATTTTACTATTATTGAACTTTAGAATCTTAGTTTTGGCAGATATCGCATTCACAGTCGTGTATATATTTTCTTCTCTCCTGAAACCATCAAAATTTATTACTTAGGATTAGTGTTGTTAGGCGAAACTTAGAGGTTTCGCCAAAAAAAAATTGAAAATGGCGAAATGGTGAAACTGGCAAAACTATCGAAACTGGCGAACCTACTAAAAGATAATGAAACTAGAAAAATAATAAAATTAGTAAAAGATAAGAAAATGAAAAGACACTCTCTTGCAGGTCTCAAAACACAACAATTGGCAAAGGCAAAAAAATAAAAATAAACAAAACAGATAGCATAGAAGGAAACCAAATAAAACAGTCTACTTTGGGCAAGAAAACAACTCATACAATATACAAAGTGAGAATACAGCAGTTATAAAGATACAGAAAAAAAGAAAACTCAACACTGCAGACAAAGAAAATAAACCAAGGCTAACAAGGTTAGTGATACTTTTCAACTTCAAAGTTAAAATACATATTAGACATAATGAGCAATAAACACAAATATCCTACTAGCAATACACTAATTAAAATATTATTTATAAACATTTACATTAAGAAATAATACACAACTTTTTCTTAACTCTTATTAAGTAGTAAAAGTAAGCAGCACAGTATATTTTTAACAAAACAAGTAATAATATTATATACAAATTAACATAACAATAATATAATACAAATCAGAAATAATAATATTACAATAAGCATTATAGAAATAATAACAATATTGTAATTATTATACATAACATATAGTTCCAAATTACTATAAAAAAATCTAATAACCATATTACAGAACCAGATACCTAATAAGCAGTCAACCTATATAATATAGAATCTAGATTTATCAAGATACAAAACCTATATAAAGCAATAGCAAACAGTAACTAAATCACAGAATCAGAACAAAGAAATCAAATAAATATAGAAATAGAATAAATAAATATTTTCTTATATAACATAGATATACAAACATCATTAACAAACTTATATATAGTTAAATTGTTTAAAGAGAAGCAAATAAAGCAATATCACAAACACAGAAATTAACTATACAAAAACATTAATACAATAAGTTAATAATAGTCTAAAAACAAAAATTATTAATTTTTTTTGATATTAAATGATCTTTTTGGTCTTTTGCCTTTATTAACACTTTTGTCAGATATATTTTTTATATAATATATATTTATATCGAATTATTACAGAAAGAACATACACTAACTACATATATAACTTTTTTATATTACTTATTTAAAAAATTCACTAAAGGTTTTTTATCAATTGTTGTACTTAATACTTCTGTTTGGATGTTCTATTTTAAATTCTCCAATTCTGCAATTTTTATATTAACTTTACTAATTTATTTAGAATTTAAATCATTATCTTAACCTTAAAACTAATTTATCTTTAAAGTAAACTTCTAAAGTTTTCTGTATTTCTATTTACAATTTATCTAGTTGTATTATGATCAAAACCAATACTTGCAATTAAGATTAATCATTAAATTATTTTTATTTTTATAAAGTTTATCTAAATTTTAATATCTATCTTTCTAATATTTTCTTTATTTTTTTTTACTAACTGCTATTCAAAACTAATAAAACTTTTTAAATTACTAATTCAAATAGTTTAATGTAGTATACTTATATATCTTTTTTTTTAATAATTTCAGCAGTCTGGTTAATATATATGCTTTTCTTATATATTTGTTATTTAGTTTATCTGATTATTTTTTTGAAAGTATTTTATAAGCTTTTATTAGACTAATAATATTATTAAAAATTTGTACTACTTTTTTATTTATAATTTTTAAATAAGTTTCTGTCTTCTTGGTTTCTTAGTCTTTTATATATAATGGTCTTATTACAGATTTGTACTAAAATCTTATATAATATTAGTTTATTATATTCTTCTATATATATATAATAGTACATTTTACCTAGATACTTTAAGCTTTAATATCAGATAGGACTTGACTTGATATATCTAAATTACAGATATCTAAATTTTTTTTTTTTAATATTAAAGTCAGTATATATGATTTAGAATTTTAATAATAATATATATTGGCTAGCATCTGTTAATGTAACAAACACAAAAGCAATTATGAAAAAAGTATATAACTAATTACTTATACAACTTTAGTCATTGTCTAATTTAAGTAATCTGCCTGAAGGTTTTACACTAGTTGCTATATCTAAGACCTATCTGTAGATTCTCTATTTAAACACTCTGATCCTATATATATTATATTCTATTAATGACTTTGATAAACTAATAAAGATATATCATGGTTATTAAGCTATACTTAACTTTATACTAAATATATTGAAGCATTTTGTATCTTATACTTACAGCTGACCTAGTATTACTTTGGCCTAAACTATTAGTTGCAGTTAAAGCTAACTATTAAACTACTATATCCTTGTAAGGTTTATTCAAACTCTAGTATCTATTTTTCTAATATCTTTTTTATTGTTTCCTACTAATTGCAGCTAAAAACTAACAGAACTCTCTAAACTTTTAATTCAGATAGCTTGGTATAGTATATCTTAGTATACTTTTCCTTTAGCAATTCTAGCAGCCTAGTTGATCATATGCTTCTTTACACATCTTATTATCTAGTTTATCTGTTTATTTTTACTGAAGATGTTTTATGAGCTTTCATCAATCTGACAGCACTGTTGAAAATTTGTGCTATCTTCTTATTTGGAATTTTTAAGTAGGCTTCTAACTTCATAGTTTCTTTGCTTTTTGTGCCTAGTAGTCTTATTATAGATTTATACCAAAGTTTTATGCAATATCAGTTAAACATTCTTCTATGTCAAATACCTAAATTTAACTAATTGACAAAAAACAGTTACTATAACATAGATATAATTTTCAAAATTTATTAACTATAAAAATTGAATCTTAGATCTATTACTTAAAAGTTAACAACCTGTTCACTTTACTAAATTGTCACATTTTATATAAAAATTATTATATTATTTAACTACAAAAAATAGAATTATAATAATATAACTAAAGTATACAGATTAAAAATAAAAATATAAAAATTTATTATATACAAATTACAAATTAAACTAATAGAAAGACCTGTTTTTCTTGTAGCGAAAGCAAAATTTAATACACAGATTTAGCATTCTTTACTACTTTTATATATACAAACCACTTTATATTATTATACTAAACTAAATACAACTAAATATTTACAGATATACTAAAGAATTACAAAACAATAAATACAATAACTAGAGATATTTAAAACTTAATATATTTAAAATATTATAATAAAAAATAATCATAGACTATATAACAAACTTAAATTTTAAAATATATCTTTAAAATACTATAGAGACTTTACAAAAAATAAAAAAATAATAAATGCAAAAGTAATACAAAAAGCATTTAAAAATATTCTAATATTCTATTTATAAAACTATTTAAGTTATTAAAACTTAGAAGAAATATAAAAAATACTTTCTTTTATTTTGTTTATTAAATATAAATTACAAACAAGAATAATTGTAATATTATTATACAAAATCTATTTTTTCGAACAACTTTCTGAAACCTATTTTATCAAATTATAACCTTTATTTAAAAATATTAAAGGCTTAGATAAGACAATAAGTAATCTTTTTTTAATTACAAAAAAACAAAAACCAAAAAAACTAGCTTATTATAAAAACAACTATAAAACTACTATAATTGCAAAAAAATACTAAGTTATTATTTTAATCTATTGTTACCAATTTAACTTAAACTCTACATTTTAAAAGCATATTAAGATTTTTTTAAATAAGCAGTCAATTGCTTAACCAAACTAGCAATTTTATTAATTAGTAATATCTTAAATAAATTTATAATTTATATGAATATAGTTAGTTATTTATTTATTTTTTTTTTAATGTTAAAGTCTCTATATTTAAGA